GTCCCATACTTCTTAGAGGGAGGATCCACACCGACTTAGTTAAGATCTTCATAGACGGGGGCCTACCCACAATTTAATAAATATTGCCACAGCACTGAGACTTAAACTGACACTACACCGGTGCTTACCTGAGTATATTACTTTAAAACAGGCACCAACCGCATCTGGGTACCGGCATATTCACCGCTATGGGAACTGCTACTGCAGGAGGCACATGACGGAGTTACCTCAGGTCACTTCGGGGCTGAAAAAACGCGACAGCAACTGCAGCGGTATTACTACTGGCCGGAGCTGTTAACCGACGTTCAACACCACGTGGGATCGTGCCCCACGTGTCAGGTGATGAATCTTGGTTTGCAGATTACCAGGGAAAGGACAGCTCGCACCATTACGCTGGAGTAAAAGCATATGGTCGAGCAGATCCTCATGCGGTTTCGCTTCCCATTCTCCAAGGTACAGCTCACCCCTCTTGTTGTGAATCATGGGCTTACGGCTCCACCTTCGGACGAGTCATAGTAGTCCAGTAGTCCATATCCTGAGTTGGTGGGTTGCCTCATGTGCCTGATGACGCGTACTCGCCCTGACCTAGTTTTCCCTCTCAGTGTAGTGACTCGCTTTGTTGCGACTGGGAGACACCGACCTTCTCACTGGTTGGCTGCTAAGAGGGTGGCGAAGAAAGTGACGAGCACATCAGGCATGGGACTTGTCCTTGGAGGGAAGCAACCAGTTACACTCACAGGTTACTAGGACGCGTCGTATGCAGACTGTGCCTTGACGTATTGGTCTGCACAGGGTTACTGCTTTAGCCTTGAAACCGGAGTTGTTTCGTGGAGGTCGACTCAGGCGTCGTCCGTCGCTAGCTCCAGCTGTGAGGCAGTGGTGTACGCTGCGGCCATGGCCGCACAGGAGCTTCGCTGGCTATCTTTCCTCTTCACCGATCTTGGTGAGCGGCCTCGCTCTCCTCGAGTCCTGTTCGCTGACAACATGTCTTCTGTCCTGTTCTACGATGAGCCTCGATTGGTTGGGAAGGCGAAGCACATCTAGTTTCGTTACTTCCTTCTGCGCGAGTTACAGCATCGTGGCCAGGCTCGCGTGGTACGTGTGGTTTCTGAGGCCAACACTGTAGATATGTTCACCAAGGCGTTGCCGTCTTGTGACCACAACCGTTTCTGCACGCAGTTTGGCCTTGTGCCTTCAGCTTCTCACTTGCTTGCGTTGAGATGCTTTGTCTTGTACTCTTGCATCTCCCTGTATTTACTATATATCTCTGTATGTGGACTGGCCTTGTGGCCTCTTGCTTGTTCTCGGACTGTGTGGTGACTTTGAGATCCACCCTGAGATTTGTCTTATTCTTGTGGACTGGTCTTGTGACCGTTGCTTGTTCTTGCTGACTGGTCCTATGACCCTTGCTCTCAGACTGTGTGGTGACTTCGTGATCCACCCTGAGATATGTGTTGTGTTTCACAGGTCTACCGTCACCTAAGTTATGGGGGTGTGTCAAACTATAATTGTTATAGTTTCATATGTGTTAGTCTATGTGTTACTTGTTTTTGCTAACACTGTTAGGTTTTGGTATATCTATGCTTGTACTTCATTCCGTAACTCATTTCGTAACAGCAATCATCGTTGTTGTCGATCGGCTGACAAAAATGGCTCATTTCGCAGCCTGCAAGAAAACAATCTCAGACGAAGAAATTGCTTCGGCTCTTCATCGCCACCACCGTTCGCTTGCACGAGATACCAGCGACGATCACCAGCGATCGCGACAAGAAGTTTACAAACAATTTCTGGAGGAACATGTGGCAGTAGTTCGGCACCTGACTTCAATTCGGTTCATCGTACCACCCCGAAACTGACGGTCAAACTAAGCGCACCAATCAGACTACGGAGCAATTAATTTGATCCAGGTGCGACGACTCGCCAACATGGGAGCTGCAGTTGCCACTCATCGAAATCGCGTACAACAACTCTACGTCCGCCACCACCCAACAGTCGCCGTTTTATCTCAACTACGGACAGAACCCTACGGTACCCATGACGCCGAATTCCGACAACCATGTCCCACGTGCACATCAGTTTGCCGAAATTTTGCAAGCAACACGGGCTCGAGCAGCTGACGCGATAAAAAGGTAAATCATCATAGCCGATCGCCACGAAAGCTCCGTCACTTACCAGCCCGACGACCTCGTTCTTCTCGTCACCCAAAACCTCCGTCAGCCCATCACCCCAAATTACGCCTGAGATATTGTGGGCCATTTCGCATCAGCCACATGATAAGCCCCGTAACCGCCCTCCTCCTCCTTCACGCTGACTTGTACGTCAGCCCATCCTTCCACGCCCGCCTCCTACGCCCCTACGTCCCGTCAACAAACCATCTGCCACGCAGCCGCCCGTCCAACATGACACGACCGCCGACCGAACCAATCATCAAACCCGAAAATATATTGAGCAATCGAGTACGCAACCCACGTGGAGCACGACGCATCGAGTTCCTGATACGCTGGAGAGACCGAACGCCCACCGAAGACATATGGGTCCCCCTGGAAAAAAATCAAAGACCACCCCGTCCTCACCGAGTACCTTCGCAGTCGCAACATCCGCGACATACACGCACATTCATAAGGGGCCTATTTTGGGGAGGGGGGTAGTTAAAGGAAACAACTTTCCCCTACTTCGCATCACACTGCATACCGCGCACAGGACAAATCCCCCCACTGTACACCCAACAGTAGCTCGTTACCACCTCGTGACACTCGCCTCGACACTATTCCGCCACCACAACCCTCGCGCCCGAACCACCCGGCTCGACTGGTAACCCTCGACCCGGCCGTACGCTTCGACATCGACATCAGGCCCGTATGGAACCTTTTCGTGAGCGCGTTACCGTTGCCAAAATGTCTTCGCCATTCAACTCTTTGCTCATGCATTCGCTCAGTGTATTCTTTTGCTCTTCAATATTCGGTCTTTCACCCAATTGCACTCGTAACAATTTCGAAATACACATTATGCTCAACTGATGTGCGCGAATTTGCCCTGTGCATTTTGGATTCCCTGCCCATGTGCTTTTGGGGCCGGGAAGTTGCACCCACTTTACAAGCCCCACGAGCAAGTTGCAGTGATGATGAACCAATTGTAAACGAAGAGACCAACTGTTAATGCAGTGATGATGAACCAATGATAACACGAAGAGACCGAGGTCAGACAGTCAACGTATAAGCCCTTTTTTGCTAGCTGCGACGTTGACGAACCTTTGCGAAATGCAAGAATCACTTAAAAGACCTCTTCTCAAGGCAAGTATGGGGGACTCAGATGAGCATCAGGTGTATATAGCAAATGTACCAACCGACTTCCTGACATCGGAAAATACGTACGGAAGCCGCCCATTGGTGACGACGATGTCCACGCCCTCGTGGGCTCCAGGCAGTCGAACGAATCACCTGACAAAAATCCTTTCAGAAAGTAGGTGGGCATCGCCAGACCTCGACCAGTCTGTGAACTAGATACAGCTAGTAAATGTGTCGGATAGTGCCACTACATCCTCATCCTGAAACTCCAGCCAGCTGGAGAATATAGAGTACAATAGAACAAGTATGTTTCCCCTAGAAGACACCCTGGAATAGACATTCATGTACAGTATACCCAAGATGACCTTTGCGTTTTTTCCTGAAACAAAACATCTCACACCGCTGCCCACTTCTCTCCACACACTAGGGCAACGGTGTGATTCTCTATGTACTTCTCTTTTAACAAAACCGCTGTTCGTCTATTAAGTACATTAATTTGTTCAAATCTTTTCATCCATGCAAAGTCATCCCCAAATATGGGGCGACAACAAACATCTGGTTGTCCATTTGCACCCCGCACCTGGATTTTACGACACCAGCTGTACGTGATGTTTGTGGTGCACAAGTCAAGCTGTGGGTCTGGTGGAACCTATTTTTTTGGAGGAAGAATATTTCAATTTCTGACCGAAGTGCAGTACAACCCGCTAACAATGGATACATTGTTTCTGGATGGAAGTGGTTATGCAAAAGAATTGAACTAGCTGGAACTTGAGTTCTCATCCTGCTAGGGTTCTGTCTGAGTGATTCCAAAGTGAGTGTAGGAGGTACTCTGCTGCTTCCAAATTTGGGTTACCCCATTTCGTACAACAGGTGCTACTCTTGAGTACTGTAGTCATATTGTCCGTCAGCGCCGCATTTGCTTGCCGTTGGACTGTGGCGTCTGCCTGAAAGCGTTGTGGGGAGGGGACAGGTTTCGCCTTGCAGAAACCGGTCACACTGGAGCCCGTTGAATCAGGCTACTCATCATACATTGGATAAATCTCACGGGATACAAGCATGCCTCACAAGAAAAGTAGGCTATGATCTGAAACGTTTCCGATTTGCTGAAAGATTCGGACCTCCAGCCACACATCGCAACGCCCTTTTGAACTCCCTATACAGCGCTGTTTTTGGGCGTGGTGTGGGATGGGAGTGGTGGGGTGGAGGGAGAGGAGAAGCCGGGCCAGGAAGCGTCTCGCGGTTTCTAACTGTATTCCTGTCCCGAGTCCCGACGAGCGGTACGAAGTTAGCTACGGGAGTCGTTTCAGCTGTCCTACCAGAGGAAAAGTGTTTAATTATAGACGCCTAAAGCAGTACGGAACCAAGATATTTTGTGAAGAAAGGGCAACTAACCTTACACAAAAAGGGTGATAGCGTTGAGGGTTTGGCTGTCGGGCCTGGAAAGCAAACAAACCAAACCAACCCTGCTTCAGTTCACGGCACAACCCACATATGTTCAGAGCAAGCAACTGCATTCACGATTCAGCCTTCAGTCAAACGCACGTCACCCCTACAGAGCACCAATCTCCCAGACGTCACTGACTGGAGTGATAGTCTGACGCTGACCTCGAGAAACGTCAAATCGGAAGTTGACGCTCCTTTAATACAGCTGTTGGCCGTACTCCTCAGAGAAATCATTACACCATTTGTCTCTCGCGTAGTCTCCCCGCCGCAACAATGGCTCATCGTCACAGCATGCTAGTACTTCTCCTTTCCCTCTTCTTCCTCTCGCCGTTCCAGCGCCTCTCCGACGCAGCCACAGCTCCACAACCAGCTCGATTCGAGCAGGCGATGGCGGAGACCCTTGCAATGAGCGTCGAGGCCAAGGCGCAACTCCACGCGAGGGCGCTCCGCGACGCCATGCTCGACGACCCGTCGCTCGACGATGACGGCGACGACGAGGGTGCGCGACGGCAGCTGAAGGGCATGAAGGGGCGCGACGTGGGGCTTACGCCGCCGGCGCTGAACTCAGGGCCCAGCATGGCGGACGTGAACGGCACCTTCTACCGCTGGGACTCCGTCACGCCCAAGCCCTTCATCGACTGGCGCCAGACCAGATACATCTCGCCCATTCAGCGCCAATTCGAGGTGCACCTCGTAACCAGCCGCCGCATGTGAGCGCCGTTTGTAATTTGACGGGCGAGCGTGACGAACGCTCGAGTTGCGGTGCGCGTGACCGTCTGTAGTTGAGCCGGCCGCTTCGCTGCTTCTTCGCTGCCGGCCGCCTTTCCCTGTCGCCTCGTTTCTCCCCTTTTTAATTTCGTTTCTGCTCGTCTCTTAATGGCAGTGCGCGAGCTGCTGGGCGATCGCAGCCGTCGATTCCATCTCCATGATGTGGGCCATCACCACCAAAACAGATCCCATCGTTCTGTCGCCGCAGCAGGTGCGTGCGACGACAGCGACAACGGCGCAATGCCGCTGCTTCCTTTTTCATCGCGCCCGTGCTTCGCCTGTAATTTCGCTGTCGCCAAGCTCGCTCGTCTCGCAGTCGGCCTAACCTCGTTCCATCCTTTCTCGTCGCGCGCGTCGCAGGTGTGCGACTGTGCGACGAAGCAGTGCTGCAACGGCGGGTGGGCGGACTGGGCGTTTTCGTACGTGCTGTTCAACGGGGGCATCCAGGCGGAGGAGGACTACGCGTACCAGGCGGCCGACAGCACCGTCTGCAGCCTCAACGTCTCCGCGCCCACCGCCGCCAAGGTACTGCCTTGCTTGCACTCTCACTCCTCGCCGTCGCGCCGCACCGTAGAATGTCGGGGCGCGGCTCGCAGTGCGATGCGCAGCCGAAGGATGGCGCAGCCGGAGTGGGGCGCAGGCGGAGTTGGGCGCAGGCGGAGTGGGGCGCAGGCGGAGTGGGGCGCAAGTCCGCCGCAGTTGGCGTGTGATGCGGAACAAGTCATTCACTGTGCGCATGTCCCTCCCGCCTTCCACGACCCCCCGTCCCTCTCCCCTCTTCCCGCCGCAGATCACGGGGTGGGAGCTGGTGCCGGCGTACAGCGCGCGTGCGCTGATGCAGGCCGTCAGCATGCAGCCCGTGGTGGCGTTCCTCAGCGGCTCCGAGCGCGACTTTCAGAACTACACGTCGCGCAACCGCCTGCGCATCTACGGGTCGCCGGAGCTGCCGGGGCTGTGCACGGCGAACGTGAACCACGTGGTGGTGGTGGTCGGGTACAACTACACGGGGCCCAGCCTCGCGGGCAGCTACTGGATCCTCAAGAACACGTGGTTCAGCACGTGGGGCGACAACGGCTACATGTACCTCGCCATGACGCCCGACGTGCGCGGGAAATGCGGCCTCCACGCGTACGTGTCTTTGAATGCGTTACGCATGCAGAGATTGTCTTTTTCTCCATCCTAGTACCGCCCCAATATCTCTCCCTCTCACACTCTCTCGCTCGCTCTCACTCCCTTTGTCTCGCCTACTCATTCTCAAATTCTCGCTCTGTCTATCCCATGGCCCCCCTCACCCTCCCCCCCCCTCCCCCCTTTCCCTCCAGCCTGCCCGCCATGTACCCGGTGTACTACCCGTTCGGGCCACAGGCGGTGCGGTTCAGCGACAAGCAGCGCGACGACAGCGACGGGCGCTGGTGGACCAAGCCGCTGCCCGCCACGTCCGACGCCTGCCAGCTGCTCATCAACCCCTGCGGCGCCGGCGAGTGCTACACGCGCAACAACGTGGCGCGGTGCGACTGCAGTGGGCCGGAGGGCATGGTGGAGGTGATGGGCGTGCCCACCAGCAAGTGCGTGTCGCGCTTCCCCTGCAACTCCACCGCCACCAACCCCTGTGGCGCCGGCACCTGCGCCAACACCGGCAACGGCACCTACACCTGCCAGTGTCCCTCTGTGAGTGCGCCCGCCTGCACCACTTGTGCCTCTCGCCCTGTCACTAAGCGGCCTCGTCTGCCTCTCGTCGCCGCGCCTTCTCATGCCAGTCGCTGTGTCCTCCCTGCCCTTTCCCCCTCCCCTTCCCCCTCACCTCTGTGCGTTACAGGGTTACGCCATTGGCGCGGAGACGGACGGGTCGCTGACGTGTGTGGGCGTGGCGGGCGGCAACACGTCGTCCCTCATCTACACCACCGTGCCAGGGGACGCATGTGCTGTGAGTGACGCATGTGCTGTGAGTGCCATGTGTGCTGTGAGTGCCATGTGTGCTGTGAGTGCCACGTGTGATGTGACAGCAGGCAAGGCAACTGTTTCTTTGCCCTCAAAAAGCACACCAATCAATGCGGTGTGCCTGCTTGTCTGCTGGCTGATTTCCCAGCATGCTCTTGTCTCCCTCCCAATCGCCACCCCATCACATTCTAATCTCGTGTCATCCCCGCCCCTCCCCCCGCCCCCATGACTCTGCCATGCACAGGCGGTAGCGGCGGCGTACAACAGCAGTGTGGCGACGCTAGTGGCGCTCAACCCCTTCCTCAACTGCTCGCAGACGTACATGCCGCCCGGCTTCGTGCTCTCCCTCTCCAACGCCTCAGCGCCCTCCACGCCGCTGTGCACCGCCACGTACATCGTGCGCCCCAACGACACGTGCGCCTCGCTCACCGCCAACCTCTTCAACGGCAGCGACTCTGCCTTCCGCCAGGCCAACCCGCTGCTCTGCACGCCCGACCGCCCCTCGCTGCTGCCCTTGCAGCAGGTGTGCGCCGCTGCCGCTCCGCTGGCAGCGAATGCAACGGTGGCGCAGTGCGGGCAGACGTACGTGGCGGTGATGGGCGACTCGTGCAGCGCCGTGGCGTCCAAGTACACCCTCGACCTCCCCACCTTCAAGCTGTACGTGCCCTGCCCTCACACGCTTCTCTGCTGCGCCCACTCGCTCCTCTCATTTCCATGCCAAGCGATGCTGGTTCATTGTGTTTCTACACGACAAAGTGCAATCCTCTGCCTCTCTCTCTTTCTCTCCACTCCCCGTCCCACTCGTCTCCCTGCGTTCTCCGTTGCTCACACCAATCTCGCTCCCTGTCGCTGCCTGTGGCCCACCAGGCTGAACCCAGCACTGAACTGCAACAGGGGCAACATAGACGTGGGCACGTACCTCTGTGTGGCTGCCAAGTCAGACAAGGTGTGCTCCCTGCTGCCTCACCTTCTCTCTATTGCTGCCCATGCCCATGCCCATTGCCATGCCCACGCCTCCACCCATGCTGGTGCTGCTGTTGCTTCTAGTGCTCCCACTGTTGCTGCTTCCTGCTGGTGTTGCAGGTTCTGCTTCTGCTGCCACTGCTGCTTCCTTTTCCGTCCTCCTTCCCTCCATTCCAGTCCTGCCCCATTCCTTCCCTCCATTCCAGTCCTGCCCCATTCCTTCCCTCCATTCCAGTCCTGCCCCATTCCTTCCTTCCATTCCAGTCCTGCCTCATTCCTTCCCTGCCCTCCAGTCCTGCACCACTCCGTGACAATTGTCACTCTCATCTTAACCGGACCCCCCGCAGCCTGCTCTCCTGTCTTTCTCCCTTCCGCTGTCCTTTTTTCTCCTCCCTTGACTGTGCCTCCCTCCGCCCTCCCCCCCGCCCGCCTGCAGACGGCAGTGAACTGCACGGCATGGTACGTGGTGCTGCAGGGCGACAACTGCCCCAACATCTGGAACGCCGCCAACCTCACCGAGTCCACCTTCCTCGCCATCAACCCCGGCATCCGGGTGAGCCTTTCCAAGCCCAGCAGCACAGCGAGTCAGCAACTTGGGTGTCAGGGTGAGGCGCTTGAGGGGTATTAGGGTTTGAGGGATGAAGCTTTCTCTCGGGCACTTTCAACCTTGAGAGGCATTAGGGTGCGTCGCCAAGTGTGGATGGTTCATCGCCGTGTGCCATCGCTGTGCCTCATGTCATGACATGCACTTCGTCTGCCCCCCGCTCCTCTCCACCATCTTTTCCTGACGCCCTACTTGCTCGCCTGCCCCTTTCTCCTCGCCCGTGTGACAGTGCCAGTCGCCGTACCTGCAGGTGGGGCAGAAGGTGTGCATCAACTCGCCCATCCTGCCCTCGCTCATCGCCTCCACCAACTCCTCCTTCTCGCTCTACACCGTGAAACTCGGCGACACACTCGCCCTCATCTCCTCGCGCTTCATCAACCGCTGCATGCCCACGTCGGTGTCGCCGGCGGCCATAGCGGCGTACAACAACATCCTCGAGACGGCCGTGCTGCTCGTCAACTCCACGCTCATCATCCCCTGCAACGTGCGCATTGGCGCCATCGACTGCGGGTGCGCGGCGTCCCTGCCGGTGTGCGGGTCGGACTACGTCACATACCCCTCCTTCTGCGACGCCCTCTGCAACTACGCCACTCCCTTGCTCGCCTACGACGTCTGCACCGGCTGCAACGCCGCCTGCATGGGCCGTGCTGGCTCCGCGCCCGCAGTTGGGTACGGGTGCACGCAGGCCGTCTGCCCCTACCCCACGTGGCCGCCGCCCGATGACGACTGCACGATACAGGTGGGCGACGGTGTGGGCAGGTGCTGCTCGTACGTGAAGACGACGTGTGAGAACGTGTGCCAGGACTTCAAGCTCGCCATGGGGGGCACGTCGGCCGTGCAGACCACTAACTACAAGAACTGCTACAACGCGTGCACGTGCTGCAAGCGCATCCCGTGCGGCTTCAACTGCACCGCGCCACCGTCGTGCTGGAATGAGAGCCCCCGCCGCTGCTCCTACTCCATATCCACTAGCTACATGTGGCAGTGCATCAACTGGCCTGCCGCCTCCCCCCTTCCCTGACCCCCTGCTCCCTGCCTTCAGCTGCTTGTGCACCTCACAGGATATCCAGGGAAGGGAAGAGCTGGGGGAAGGGGGAAGCTGTTGCGAGGGAATGGGGGACAGCTGGGTTTGAAGGGTGCAAGCCAAAGTGTTTTCTGTTAACATGCTTTTTCTGTTTGCTGATTTTTTTATTTGTACAACTTATAAGAGTATCACTAACTTTCTTACATACCGTATTACCCCGGATAGAAGCGCACCTGTTCTTATAATAAAACGTGTTTTTTCAGGGAGTGCGCTACCGTATTACCCCGGATAGTAGCGCATATGCGCTTATAATAAAATCCGTTTTTTTGGTGGTGGCGCTTTTAATTGAGTATCGGCCATAAGCGCCGCTTATATAATGACAAATACAGAAATACAACTTAAACGCATTAAAATGTACGTTTCCGTCTCGTAGGTTCAATCGAGTCGACATTCAATAGCGTCCTAAATTTGAATCGCGTGAGGGCGAATCTCTGACGCTGCACAAAGCTTTTCGCACGTCAATTTGCCCGCGTGCCACCTCATCCTGACTGGACGCGAAACCAGTCAGGACCTCGAAAGTCAAACAAAGTGAAAATGGGTGCTGACTCGCTTGAATTTTGAAATTCGTTACTGTTTTAATCAGGATTGAAAGAATAAAATATACATGCGCTTATAATAAATCAGGGTTTTACAGGGGGGGTGCTTATAATCGAGGAACGGCCATAAGCGCCATGCTCCAGATATAGGCGCCGGCGCCTTTAATCGGACGGCGCCTATATCCGGGGCCATACGGTATTAATTACCGTATCGCCCTGGATATACAGGTAAGTGATGTCCGATTAGTGGCGCCGGCGCTTCTATCTGGAGCCATACGGTTATGGCCGGTCCTCTTATATGCGCACCCCTTTTGAGACCTCGACTTATTATAAGCGCCCCCCTGTTTGATTTTTTCTTATTATCAAATTAAAATATTTAATGATCATGAACCGAAAAGTCTTAAATACTAAACTCTGGTAAATCTATTGATTTTAACATTGCATTGCCTCTACTAAACACGGCGACCAGGTTTGCGCAGCAAGCTAGACTAGCCTAACTAAGCATTCAGGGCAGGTCATCCTCGTCGTCAGACTCAGGCTCAGGGCAGTTATTGCCCCAGAAGCCATTGGCGATGATATCGTCGTCCACGTCCACTTCGTGGGTGAGCTGGCTCCTCCTGTGCGCCATGGCGAGCTTCTCCTCGCTCCCGTCAAGTGCGTTGCTGATACCGCTGTTAGAATAAGCAGGAATGAATGAACTATGAATGAGTTGGGTACAAGTATTAACCCTAAAGTGTTGTACCCCCTGTAGGCTAACCCACTATAGCCTAGAGAGACCACAAACATATAGTTTGACACACCCCCATAGGCTAAGTGGGAGATAGCAAACACAACAGACGGTCACAAGGCCAGTCAAGCAAGAGAACAAAGCAAAGCACAGCTCAGGGTGGATCTCAAGGACACACCACACAATCTGAGCACAAGCAAGCGGCCACAAGGCCAGTTCACATGCAGAGTTATAATAGCAAGGCAGTACACTGATCACAAACAGGCCCTCAGATTCACTTTTAGGGTCGTCAACCCATCAGGGTCCCCCTGTGTGTAAACTCTGATTGACAGTGTTCCAAAAAAAAAAAGCCTGAAATGACAGTGTTGCGTTTGTAAAAAGCCTGATGCATCAGTGTTACACTAGTAAAAAGGCTGTCACTAACGCGTCGTAGGTGATGGCAACGGGGCAGGATCCTTGGCAGCCCTCCAGCACCACATGGTGGCCAAGTTCGGATTGGCCAAGACTGACTGCTGCAGCGAAACGGCCCAATGGTGTGAGGCGCCGCGCCAACAAAACACCTCTGAACGTGAACCAGAGGCAGAATTTCACAGGTTGGCCTCGCCACGGGGTGCTTACACCTCGGGAATCTGAGATTCCCTGTAATTGCGGCCAAATCCATACGGCATAGGTAAGAATCGCTTTCAGTGTTGGTTTCGTTACAACGTTGTGGCATCAGTGTACTAGGGGGAAAAAGTCTGAAATTTCAGTGTGGCCTAACAAAAAAGGCTGAAATATCAGTCCCTCAAAATTCTCAACACTGACTTTTCAGGGTAGGTAAAAAAAGGACTGCCAAAATCAAGAATTTCAGGGTTTTTTTCCTGATATCTGAGGCCCTGATCACAACCTAGCAAGAGTAAACAAGCAGGTATAAAGATATATATCAGTGTACAACAAGAGCAAGTGAAGCAACCAGCAGGTGAGGCAGAGTGGGCACAAGCCCAAGAGCAGTGCAGAAACGGTGATGATCACCAGACCCAAGGGCCTTGGTGAAGACATCAGCAGTGTTGGCCCGAGAGGCCACGTAAGCAAGGCGCAGCTGACCACGCTGCTGCAGCTCCACGAGAAGAACGAGTGGACCTCCACGAGACAGAACCAGAGCCAAGACTGAAGGTGTAACCCTGTGAGGAACGCTGAGTCGTCTGGTCTTCGGCCCAAGAAGCGTCAGAGTGTCATGTGAGGACCACCGAACCCCGTCCTCCAAGCACAAGCCCCATGCCCGATGTGCTGCACAAGTAACGCAGTACCCTCTTCGCAGCATCAAAGTGCACATTTCGGTGTCTACCGGGTGCCACGTAGCGGGGTGGGGATGTCAATTGCATCCGGGTCTCCCTCAGGGGCAATCAGCATGGTCGCGTGATGGGGTGAAGCGGCCGCAAGGCACTCCAGCTCCTCCTGCATGTCCTCAAGAACGTCACAGCCAAGGGCAGTACAGCCAAGAGCAGTCTCACCCCCGACGGACGGAGGACAGGCAAGGACAGGGTCAGAGAGAAGACTCGCAAGGTAGTCGAGGCGGTACACATCAGCAAAGTCAACGAGCTCAGCTACTAGGGCAAACGCAGCAGGAGACGAGAACGTAGGGTCCGTCACAACCGTAACAAGAAGGCGAGAAACAGTCGGACTGGACGCACGAGCAAGGTCAGACGGAGGGTCAGCAACGTAAGGCAGAGAGGACGCATGAGGTAACGGTAGGACAACTCGCTGAGGAACAGAGGAAGGACGGAGTGTCATATCGTGAGTGCCGGGGACAGCCGGAGCACGCGGACGACGAGTACGAGAAACACGAGCACGGACAGCAGCTCTAGGCTCAGGCTCAAGGTCAAAGCTAGACTCAGGCTCTCGACGCTCAGGGGTGGAAGCACGAGTCTCAGGCTCTCGACGCTCAGTCAGGGACTGTGTCACCGCAGTGTAAGGAGCAGGAGCAGGCAGTGGGGAGTGCAGTAGCAGCGGCGGCTGGGACTGGTCTGCCGGTGGAAACAGTAACGGAGGAGTAGTACCTGCCACAGGGAAGTCAGTAGCACCTGGCGGAAGACTGAGAAGGTGGCGAAGAGCACCAGTAGCTCCCGTACCTCCAGCACGAGAAGCTCCTCCAGTACCCCCAGCAACACTTCCAGCACCAGTAGCACCAGCACCTCCAGCACCACGAGCTCCGACAGCGCCAGCACCTCGAGCACCAGTAGTACCTCAAGCACCTCCAGTACCTCCAGCTCCAGCTCCAGCTCCTCCAGCACCAGTAGTACCTCCAGTACCTCCTGTGCCAGCAGCTCCAGTAGCAACTCCAGCACCTCCAGCACCAGCAGCACCACCTGCTCCGGCAGCTCCAGCACCTCCAGTACGAGCACCTCCGGGGCCAGTAGCTCCAGCACCTCCAGTACCTCCAGCACCAGCACCTCTAGGGTCAGCAGCTCCCGCACCCCCAGCACCTCCAGTAACAGGAGTACCTCCAGCACCAGCAGCTCCAGTACCTCCAGCTCCAGGACCTCCAGCACCGGCAGCACCTCCAGTAGTAGCACCTCCAGCACCTCCAGCACCAGCAGCAGGTCCAGTACCCCCAGCAACAGCAGCACCTCTAGCACCAGCAGTACCTCTAGTACCTCCAGTAGTACCTCCTGCACCTCCAGCACCAGCAGCACCTCCTGGACTAGTAGCTCCAGCACCAGCCGGACCGTACCCTCCACCACTAGGACTGCCTCGTCGAACGACCCACGCACGAATCGCCTGCGGCGAGAGCGTCTCAAGTAGAGCAGGCTGCGGTGGCTGTCCAGCTCCAGTACCTCCAGTAGTGGTAGCTCTAGCACCTCCAGCACCAGAAGCACCTCTAGTACCTCCAGCTCCAGCACCTCCAGCACTAGCAGCAGCTCCAGTACCTCCGGTAGTACCTCCAGGCCTAGTAGCTCCAGTACCTCCAGCTCCAGGACCTCCAGAAGGACTCGCAGCACCCCCAGAGTCAGCACCCAAAGTCTCAGCACCCCCAGAGTCAGCACCCAAAGTCTCAGTACCCCCAGGCTCAGTACCCTCAGGCTCAGTACCCTCAGTCCCAGCACCCGCAGGCTCAGTGCCCTCAGTCCCAGCACCCGCAGGCTCAGTACTCTCAGTCCCAGCACCCGCAGGCTCAGTACCCTCAGTCCCAGCACCCGCAGGCTCAGTACCCTCAGTCCCAGCACCCGCAGGCTCAGGACCCTCAGTCTCAGCTCCAGTGTCCACTGCAGAAGGCTGCAGAGGCGGGAAACCGGGGAGGGTAGCCAAACGAGGAGAGCAGTCACCCCCAGACGTACCACTCCCAGGCCCAGCTCCAGCAGCCTCAGCTCCAGAGTCCACAGCAGCAGGCTGCGGAGGTGGCGAAGACGGCCGAGGCGGGAAACCCGGGGGGGTCTCCAAGTGAGGAGTGCGGCGAGTGGTCGCCGTGTCGTCGGCGGCGGTGTCGCCCCCCTCAGCTGGGTCAGAGGAGTCAGAAGAGATCTCCACTGGCTCATCCAAGGGGGGTGGGTCTACCTGAGACACACCTGAGGGAGCAGGACCCTGTGGGGGAAGGGGGTCTACTGGGGGGGGGACTGGTACCAGGAAGAGAGGCGCAAGGGGGACCGGGTGGGACGCGTGTGGGTGAAGTCGGTAGTAACAGACCGACTCGTTGAAGGTGACGTCCTGAGAGGACAGAACACGACGCAAGGCAGGGTGGTAGAACTGCCAGGGTGGAGCGTCGGTGGGGAAGCCCAGGAAGACACAGCGGAGAGTGCGAGGAGAGAGCTT